AATGAGTGTTAATGTTCCCTGGGTTCAAATCCTGCCACAGCAAATGGTGAAATTTGAATTCAATAAATATCCAGAATTAAGAGTCTAATGACGACTATGAATCTATTATCAATTGTCGGAAAAGCCCATCTGGGTGACTATGTCCTTGAGGGAAGGAAACTGCCATCCTTACCTGGTCTGGCCTACATGTGACTCCAGAACCACGGCAGTGTGGTTGACTCATAATTCATAAGCTAGCCAGTAATATAAATGAAGACTGTAAGAGTTTCTTTAGGTATATAAAGGGCAAAAGAGAAGCAAAAGTGGACATTGGACCACTGGAAAATGACGGTGGAGAGATAGTAGTGGGGAACAAGGAAATGGCTGAGGAACTGAATAATTACTTTGCGTCAGTCTTCATGGTGGAAGACACAAGTAAAATCCGAAAAATTCAAAAGAGTCGGGGGGGGAGAGCTGAGTATGGTGGCCGTCACCAAGGAAAAGGTACGAGTAAAACTGATTGGCCTGAAGGTGGACAAATCACCTGGACCAGATGGACTACACCCCAGTATTCTAAAGGAGATAGCTGAAGAGATAGTGGAAGCATTAGAGGTGATCTTTCAGGAATCGCTAGAGCCAGGGAGTGTCCCAGAGGACTGGAAAATCGCTAACGTGACACCTCTGTTTAAAAAGGGAGTAAGGCAAAAGATGGAAAATTACAGGCTGATTAGCCTAACCTCGGTCATGGGTAAGATTTTGGAGTCCATTGTGAAGGATGAGATTTCTGAATATTTGGAAGTGTATAGTAAAACAGGGCAAAGTCAGCATGGCTTCATCAAAGGGAGGTCATGCCTAAGAAATCTGTTAGAATTATTTGAGGAAGTAATGAGCAGGGTAGACCAAGGAGAGCCAATGGATGTTATCTACCTGGACTTCAAGAAGGCCTTTGATAAGGTGCCACACAGGAAGCTGCTGAGTAAGATAAGGGCCCATGGTGTTACAGGCAAGGTGCCAGCATGGATAGAAGATTGGCTGTCTGGCAGAAAGCAGAGAGTGGGGATAAAAGGGTCTTTCTCAGGATGGCAGCCAGTGATGAGTGGTGTTCCGCAAGGGTCAGTGTTGGGACCACAACTTTTCACTTTGTACATTAATGATCTCGATGAAGGAACTGTGGGCATTCTGGCTAAGTTTGCAGACAATACAAAGATAGGTGGAGGGACAGGTAGTATTGAGGATATGGGGACGCTGCAGAAGGATTTGGACAGGTTAGGAGAGTGGGCAAAGAAGTGGCAGATGGAGTACAACATGGGAAAGTGTGAGGTCATGTACTTTTGGTAAGAAGAATAAAAGCATGGACTATTTTCTAAATGGGGAGAAAATTCAGAAGTCCGAAGTGCAAAGAGACTTGGGAGTTCTAGTCCAGGATTCTCTCAAGGTAAACTTGCAGGTTGAGTCAGTAGTCAGGAAGGCAAATGCAGTGTTGGCATTTATTTTGAGAGGACTTGAATATAAAAGCAGGGATGTACTACTGACGCTTTATAAGGCTCTGGTCAGGTCACATTTGGAGTATCGCGTGCAGTTTTGGGCCCCATATCTCTGGAAGGATGTACTGGCCCTGGAGCGGGTACAGAGGAGGTTCACGAGAATGGTCCCAGGAATGGAAAGCTTAACATATGAGGAACATTTGAGGACTCTGGGGCTATACTCATTGGAGTTTAGAAGGATGAGGGGGGATCTAATTGAAACTTTCAGAATACTGAATAGCCTGGACAAAATGGATGTTGGGAAGATGCTTCCATTGGTAGGAGAGTCTAGGACACAGCCTTAGAGTGCAGGGAAGACCTTTTAGAACGGAGATAAGGAGAAACTTCTTCAGCCAGAGAGTGGTGAATCCATGGAATTCACTGCCACAGAAGGCTGTGGAGGTCAGGTCATTGAGTACATTTAAGACTGAGATAGATAGGTTCTTGATTATCAAAGGGATCAAGGGTTACAGGGAGAAAGCAGGAGAATGGGGTTGAGGAACTTATCAGCCATGATTGAATGGTGGAGCAGACTCGATGGGCTGAATGGCCTACTTCGTGTTCCTATGCCTTATGGTCTTATGGTCCCCTGGGCATTAGGGATGGGCAATAAATGCTGGCCTAGCCAGTGACGCCCTCATCCTGTGAATGAATTAAAAAAAGTAATTTCTCCCCCTTCCAATATAACAGCAACAGCACATCATCTGGTCTTGCCATCTCTATGTTGTTTGCGTTAAACTAATTAAGTTTCAAGTTTAGAGTATCCTTCAATAATTAGCTGTAGCTATGTTATGAAGTTTAACTTGCTACATCATAAATATAGTTCTTAACTTCCTGGATTACACAACTGAAACAATTTAGAAGAATTTTTTAAAAAGTTAACTCCCCAATTAACTACCTGATCAGCTAATTAATGTCTCTGGGTTTCAGCTCTTGAGTCTCAATATTCTTGGTTCCCACTCTTGGACCTGTCAGAATGGCATCTGTTCCTCATTAAACTGAATTCCCCTCACTTAACACATTCTCAAATTTAAACATTTTGTCTTGCTGCTGTCTTCTGTTGCGGTTCATACACCTGCAGTCTTTATCATCCACTTCGCCACCTCCATCCAAGCAGTAAGTCTCGACTCCACGTTCAAGAGTTGCTCTGTTTCTTTAATACATCGTCTGCTTTTGTATCTTGGACCTTATCCCACATGATATATCCCACATGATCCCACATCCCACAGACATGTCCCTGTGAAAATGAGGGATAGAAAGGGCAAGATTAGGGAACCCTGGATGACAGGTGAAATTGTGAGACTAGCAAAGAGGAAAAAGGAAGCATACATAAGGTCTAGGCAACTGAAAACAGACGAAGCTTTGGAAGAATATTGGGAAAGTAGGACCAATCTGAAACGAGGAATTAAGAGGGCTAAAAGGGGTCATGAAATATCTTTAGCAAACAGGGTTAAGGAAAATCCCAAAGTCTTTTATTCATACATAAGGAGCAAGAGGGTAACAAGAGAAAGGGTTGGCCCACTCAAGGACAAAGGAGGGAAGTTATGCGAGGAGTCAGAGAAAATGAGTGAGATTCTTAATGATTACTTTGCGTCGGTATTCACTGAGGAGAGGGACATGACGGATGTTGAGGTTAGGGATTACTGTAGGTCAAGTCAGCATAGGAAGGGGGGAAGTGTTGGGTATTCTAAAAGGCATTAGGGTGGACAAGTCCCCAGGTCCAGATGGGATCTATCCCAGGTTACTGAGGGAAGCGAAAGAGGAAATAGCTGGGGCCTTAACAGATATCTTTGCAGCATCCTTGAGCACCAGTGAGGTCCCGGAGGACTACAGAATGGCTAATGTTGTCCCGTTGTTTAAGAAGGGTAGCAAGGATAATCCAGGAAATTATAGATCGGTGAGCCTGACGTCAGTGGTGAGGAAGCTGCTGGAGAAGATACTGAGGGATAGGATCTATTCCCATTTGGAAGACAATGGGCTTATTAGTGATAGGCAGCATGGTTTTGTGCAGGGAAGGTCATGTCTTACCAACTTGATAGAATTCTTTGAGGAAGTGACAAAGTTGATAGATGAGGGAAGGGCTGTGGATGTCATATACATGGACTTCAGTAAGGCGTTTGATAAGGTTTCCCATGATAGGTGATGGAGAAAGTGAAGTTGCATGGGGTCCAGGGTGTACTAGCTAGATGGATAGAGAACTGGCTGGGCAACAGGAGACAGAGAGTTGTAGTGGAAGGGAGTTTCACAAAATGGAGAACTGTGACCAGTGGTGTTCCACAGGGATCCGTGTTGGGACCACTGTTGTTTGTGATATACATAAATGATCTGGAGGAAGGTATAGATAAGTCTGATTAGCAAGTTTGCATATGACACTAAGATTGGTGGAGTAGCAGATAGCGAAGGGGACTGTCAGAGAATGCAGCAGAATATAGATAGATTGGAGAGTTGGGCGGAGAAATGGCAGATGGAGTTCAATGCAGGCAAATGCGAGGTGATGCATTTTCGAAGATCCAATTCAAGAGTGAACTATACGGTAAATGGAAAAGCCCTGGGGAAAATTGATGCACAGAGAGATCTGGATGTTCAGGTCCATTGTACCCTGAAGGTGGCAACACAGGTCGATAGAGTGGTCAAGAAGGCATACGGCATGCTTTCGTTCATCAGACAGGGTATTGAATACAAGAGTTGGCAGGTCATGTTACAGTTGTATAGGACTTTGGTTCGACCACATATGGAATACTGCGTACAGTTCTGGTCACCACATTACCAAAAGGATGTGGATGCTTTGGAGAGGGTGCAGAGGAGGTTCACCAGGATGTTGCCTGGTATGGAGGGCGCTAGCTATGAAGAGAGGTTGAGTAGATTAGGATTATTTACATTAGTAAGACGGAGGTTGAGGGGGGACCTGATTGAGGTCTACAAAATCATGAGGGGTATAGACAGAGTGGATAGCAAGAAGCTTTTTCCCAGAGTGGGGGACTCAATTACTAGGGGTCACGATTTCAAGGTGAGAGGGGAAAAGTTTAAGGGAGATATGCATGGAAAGTTCTTTACGCAGAGGGTGGTGGGTGCCTGGAACGCGTTGCCAGCGGACGGGCACAATAGCATCATTTAAGATGTATCGAGATAGATACATGAATGGGCAGGGAGCAGAGGGATACAGATCCTTGGAAAATAGGCGACAGGTTTAGATGGAGGATCTGGATCGGCGCAGGCTTGGAGGGCCGAAGGGCCTGTTTCTGTGCTGTAAATTTCTTTGTTCTTTGTTCTTCTTTGTTCTATGAATGAAATAAACAGAATTGCCAGACATTTAAGTGAGAATCACTGACTGTTGAAGATATTAGAGACCTTGGAGTCACAATGCATACAGGCTTCTGATTCTGAGTAAATTAGTGGTTATGCAGCAATTTTTTAAAAAATTCTAGAAATTCTTATATTCCATTTTCTAAGCACTAATTAATATATCTCAGATAATATTTGAGTTTGGTGCTATTGCAGGTTCTTGGATACCTCAAAGCAGGCTATTGGGATGCTCTTTATCCATTTTGCCAATGTCTATTTGTCTGACCTGACTGAAGAGGACCCATGTTCATTGTGAGTAATGGTATTTATATGCCACTTAACTGTTAGATTCAAGTGTGCTTACAGGCCCTGCTCACTGGAATAAACACTATGACTCTTAAAATTCACAAGATCAGTGGTGATATTGATTTAGGGTCAGAACAACGCTGTTTACTTGCAGCTCATTGTCATGTGGCCAAAAGCTCACTCATAGAGCTAAAGTCATAAAATCATTACTTAGGGACGGAGGTCATTGAGCCAGTGGAGTCTGTAGAGCAATTTAATCAATTTCCCCACTCTTGTTGGAGATAATCATTGCCAGGCGCTTGTGCAGTGCAAATGTTACTTGGCAATTGTCTGCTCAAATCTGGATATTGTCCAGGTCTTGCTGCATTTGAACATGGGCAGTTTTGGTATCTGACGAGACATGAATGGTGCTGAACATGGTGCAATCATTGGTGAACATCTTCATTTCTGACCTTATGATGGAGGGAATGTTAGTGAAGCAGCTGAAGATGATTGGGTCCATGTGGTTGAAAAGGAACTCCTGAAGAGTTGTCCTAGAGCTGTGATGACTGATTTCCAGTGACCACTGCCATATTTTTCTCAAACATTCGTGGGAACATGGGTGTCGCTGTCTGGGACAGCATTAATTGTCTTTTCCTTGATGCCCTTGAGAAGGTGGTGGTGAGCTGCCTTCTTGAACAACTGATGTCCATGCCCTGTAAGTAGACCCACAATGCCTTTAGGGAGGGAACTCCAGGATTTTGACCCAGGAACACTGAAGGAATGGCGATATATTTCCAAGTCAGGATGGCAAGAGCCTTGAAGGGGAGGTTGCAGGTGATGGTCTTCCAACGTATCTGCTGTCCTTGTCCTTATAGATGGAAGCAGTCATGGGTTTGGAAGGTGCTGTCTAAGAAACTTTAGTGAATTTCTGCAGTGCAGCTTGTAGATAGTATACACAACTGTTACTGAGCATCGGTGCTGGAGGAAGTAGATGTTTGTCGAAGTGGTACCAGTCAAGCGGGCTGAGTTGTCCTGGATGGTGTCGTACCTCATGAATGTTGTTGGAGCTGCATCCATCCATGCAAGTGGGGAGTATTCCATCACACTTTTGACTTATGCCTCGTCGATGGTGGACAGACTTCGGGGAGTCAGGAGGTGAGTTACTTGTCGCGGTACTCCTAGTCTCTGACCTGTTCTTGGTGCCACTGTGTTTATGTGGTGAGTCCAGTGGAGCCTCTAGTGAATCGTACTCCTTTAGGATGTTGATAGTATGGGATTCAGTGATGGTTCTACCATTGAATGTTAAATTGTCTTTTACTGGAGATGGTCATAGCCTGTCATTTGTGTGGTACGAATGTTACTTGTCAGCCTAAGTGTGGTATATTTGTCCAGATCCTGTTGTATTTGAACATGGACTGCTTCAGCATCTGAGGAGTCATGAAAAGTGCTGACCATTGTGCCATCATCAGCAAACATCTCCAGTTCTGACCTTGTGATGGAGGGAAGGTCATTGACGAAGCAGCTGAGGATGGTTCGGCCTAGGACACTAGCCTGCGGAACTACTGCAGAGATGTCCAGGAGCTGAGATGATTGACCTCCCACAACCACAACCACAACCATCTTGCCATGTGCCAGGTGTGACTCTAAACAGCAGAGTATTTTCTCCAGATTTCCATTGATTCCAGTTTTGCTCGGGCTCCTTGATGCCACACTCTGTCAAATGTGGCCTTGATGTCAAAGGCTGTCACTCTCACCTTACCTCCTGGAATTCAGCTCTTTTGTCCATGTTTGAATCAAGGCTATAATGAACTCAGGAGCTGAGTGGACCTGGCAGAACCCAAACTGGGCGTCACTGAGCAGGTTATTGCTGAGCAGGTGCTGCTTGATAGCACTGTTGATGACATTTTCCATCACTTTACTGATGATTGAGAGTAGACTGAAGGAGCGGTAATTGGCTGGCTTGGAATTTTCTGCTTTGTATGAACTGGCTATACCTGGGCAATTTTCCACATTATTGGGTGATGCCAGTGTTGTAGCTGTACTGGACAAACTTGGCTAGAGGAGAGGCAAGTTCTGGGGTGTGAGTCTTCAGTTCTATTGCTGGAAGATTGTCAAGACCCATAGCCTTTGCAGGGTACAGTCAATCATAGAATCCCAATGTGAAAACAGGGTCTTCGGTCCAAAAAGTCCACACTGACTCAGAGCAGCCCAGCCAGACCCATTCCCCTAATCTACACATCCCTGAACACTACAGGCAATTTAGCATGGCCAATCCACCTAGCCTGCACATCTTTGGACTGTGGGAGGAAACCAGAGCACCCGGACGAAACCCACGCAGACATGGGGAGAATGTGCAAATTCCACACAGACAGTCGCCCAGGGGTGGAATCGAACCCAGGTCCCTGGCGGTGTAAGGCAGCAGTGCTAACCACGGAGCCATCGTGCCGCCCTATAACATTAGTGAACCAGCTGGGTTTTTCCCCAACAATTGGCAATGCACTTATGATCATCATTAGACCCTTAATTCCAGATATTTATTGAATTCAAATTCCACCATCTGCCATGGCAGGATTTGAACCCCGGTCCCCAGAACATTATCTGGGACTCTGGATTAACAGTCCAGCAATAATACCACTAGGCCATCGCCTTCTACCATTTCTTGACATCACATGGAGTGAATCGAATTGCCTCTAAACAGGCATCCATGATTCTAGGGACCTCTGGCGGAGGCCCGGTTGGATCATCCACTTGACACTTCTTGCTGAAGATCATTGCAAGTGCTTCAGTCTTACCTTTTGTGCTGATGCACTGGGCTGTTCCATCATTGAGAATGGGAATATTTTTGGAGCTTCCTTCCCCAATATGTTGTTTAGTTGACTGCCACCATGACTGCATGTGATAGGACTACTGACCGTCAATCTGATCAGTAGGATGAGGGATAGCTTAGTTCTGTGCATCATTTGCTGCTTATACTGTTTGACAATCAAGCAGTACCTTTTGCTAGCCTTATCAGGTTGATAACCTCATTTTTAAGGTCTCCCTCATGCTGCTCCTGGCATGCCCTCCTACACTCTCCGTTGAAGCAGGGTTGATCCCTGGCTTGATGGTAATGGCTGAGTGGGATATGTGGATATGCTAGGCCAAGAGGTTGGAGTACTATTCTGCTGTTGTTGATGGCCCATGGCATTTCATGTATGCCCAATCTTGAGCTGTTCGATCTGATTGAAATGTGTCCCATTTAGCTAAAGTGGGATTAGGCTTGGAGGGTTATTTTTCAGCTGGCTGCCTCTTTCTATACAATTCTCTACAATTTTTTGGTTTCAAGTCAGGATGACGTTTAGCCTGAAGGTGGCCTGGTTCGTCATTTTATATTGCTGCATTTGTTTCTCTTGGTGGTAGAAATCATGTGTTTGAAAATGTTGAAGGAGCCTTTTTAAATTTTTGCAATGCATCTTGTAGGCAGTACACACTGCTGCCACTGTTTTGGTACTTAGGCTTGTATTTGGTGACTAACATATTTCTGTTCCTTATTCAGGTATTTGATTAATTTCCTGTTGGATGCTACTCTGGGAATGCTTCTGATCTACGCTGGAGTACGAATAGTGGGTGTCCTTGTGGAATGGCGACACTGGGAGTCTCTTCGTTTTGGCGAGTATGGTAAACAGAAATTATTAATTCCTTTTAACTTTTTGTCTTCTAACCTCTTTATTACCCATATGGAAGGCATAGGATTTTTGTACCCTTTGTGTGTGAGGGGAAATAGAATTGGAAGCAGTGGCTATTTTGCCTCTTGGTTAAATTGGGTTACTTGGTGCAGAGTATAATAGCTCAGCAGGTGTGTGATAGAAGCATGACACACCTTGAAATATTGGTCTAAGTGTGACAGATAATTATATTGACGAGTTTATCATGCATCTTGGAGTGAAGTCAAAGAACAGCCATGAGCTGCAATACAAAGCGGATGGACAAGCCATCAATTATATGGTGGAATTCTTGAATGGAAAGTGCAAATGAAACAAAATTTGAAGTTTGATGACATCTAGGATAAAGCAATAGCAGCCCATCAGCTGTAGTAAGCATCTACTCTGTCCAATATATGGCCAGTACAGGCAAATATTACATCATACACATTCCTGGTGAATATTATGTGTTGCTGGGTCAGTGAGTATTGCGGCCTGCAGTTGCTGTGGTAGATGAATATCAACTATTACATGCTGCATTGAATGTAATCATTCCATGCCAGTTGTGTCAAAGACAAGGCTTGAAATTGATGTGCTGTGGATTCTGTTGTATCCATATATAGCGACAAAAGGCAGATCTACTTAAAGAAGTTGACATGTAGCTGGAAAATAACAGTCATTCTTGGAGGGCAATTTCTATATGACATATTTAATAGCAGAACAATCAAAACAGCAGATGAAACAGGGTGTTCAGGCAGTTTTATATTCCCGAAGCTTTGTTTGAAAGCAAAGTTTGTATTCACATAGCATTTTATGTTTGAGATATCTGAAAGCAATTTTTGTTTAATGAAAAGTTATGAAATAGTCAAATTTCTAATCATCCTCCATTACGTTGCCATTGTTTTAATCTTTGACCGCATGAATGTTTAGCCAGTAGTTAGTGTTTGAGCCATACTAAGATCATTATTTTCACAGGAAGGCTTACTATATCAGTTAAGATGAAGAAGGTTCTTGTGATGTGTGTTTGGAGTCTATTTTGATTAGGGAATAGGAATGGGGCCCAATAATCAGCACTTGCCTCCTCCCTGATGTGTTGCAGTGTCTGCAGCTTGCTGACTCTGAGCCCCAGTTACTGCAGCTGCAAACATTTTTTGCAGGTGGATGTCTTGGATCCCCTCAGAACCATAAGCACCTACATCCTGCAGGACCACATCACCTACCCTGCCAACTGTTTTGTGTATTTATTAATTTATTGCTTAAATCACTTTATAGCTAATAACCCTACTAGAGACAGGATATTTTAGAATGGCAGAAAATAGCCCCTTCCCCCACATCACACTTGGGGAGGTGGTAGCCTGATGGTATTGTCGCTAGACTGTTAATCCAAAGACCCAGATAATGTTCTGGGGAGAGATAGTAGGAACTGCAGGTGCTGGAGAATCTGAGATAACAAGGTGTAGAGCTGGATGAACACAG